TGGCCTTTTGACCCAGTGATCCCACTTCTGGGAATATATCCAAAGAAACCCAAACACCAATTCAAAAGAAGTAAGCACCCCTATATTCACTGCAGCATTATTAACAATCACCAAGCTATGGGAGCAGCCCAAGTGTCCATCAGTAGATGAGTGGATAAAACAACTGTGGGACATTTACACAATGGAACACTATTTGACTTTTAAAAAGGAGAATTTTTTACCCTTTGCAACAGTATGGATGAACCTGGAGGATATTATGCTGAGTGAAATAAGCCAGTCAGAGAAAGACAAATACCATCTCATTTCACTCATGTGTGGAATCTAATGAACAAACTGAACTAACAAGCAAAATATAGACAGACTCATAGACAGAGAGCAGGCTGACAGCTATGAGGGAGAGGGGTTAGGGACTGGAGGGATTGAGCAAAAAGAAAAAATGACTCATTGATATGGACTCATGGTATGGTGATTGCAGAGGGGAAGGGGGTATAAGTGGGTTAAATGATAGTGGAAAAATGCAATAAAATAATAATAAATAAAAATGTTGCATTCAAAATATCCTCAGAATTAGACACCTTGAAACATTTTTTGAAATAAATTTTCCTTAAGAATGCCTTAGCAATAATTTATAAATAGCATTAAATATGATGCCTTACATATGTATACATGTATACATAAACAAACAGTGACAGAAAAGGAAACTTACCAAACATTACTATTTTGAAATATTCATAAAATTATCACAATTTATTCTATTACAATTAGAAACTTCAAGCCATTTCCCCATATGATTACTTTGCTAAATTTTAATGGAGTGAAGTTTCTTATAATAACTCTAGCTAACTAAGGGATTCTCATAAAAGAAGTCATTTCTAAAAGACATTTAGTTCCTGGTCAGGTGATAGCAAATACATTGCTCACAAAGGTATTTTATATGTCTAGCTATAGATTTTAATTTAACAAGTACCAAAAAGAAGGGGGAGGAGGGGTGTAGAAAAAAGTAAAAGGGCACAGGATGGGGAGAAGGGGAAGTGGATAAGGAGAAGAAAGGAAAAGAGAAAACAATAAAACAGTTTTAATTACACCATTATGGATTACATAGATAATCCATAGATATCCTTGCTTCTACAATAATAACATATCCTTCCACCAGAGGGCAACATTTGAAGACATTTAAATGATTTCTCAAAAGTATTTCCTCACACAAGGATACAAACAAATGAAAGCCCATCATAGTGCTATTAGGTATTATCTTACGTGAACTTCAAAGAATACTACAAGGCAATTATTTAAACAACTGCATATGAAACTTAACATCTACTCATAGTAGAAAAAGAAACTAATGTGCTATTCTTTAAATATATAAGAAGACAGAACTTTGAGAAAGGAGCACATTTCTCTATATCACTGAGATTTTTCTCAGTGCATTATTAGCCATTTAGCTCACATGCAATAGGAAAACCTTAGGGTAGAAGAAAACTACCCTAAGGACTTTATATCAGTGAATAAATTAACGAAAAAGTCATAGAATTTTATAAGTAGAAGGGGTGATAGGGATCACTTACTACAAGCATTAATTAGTACAAATCAGGAAACTGAAGTTTATTAAGGTTTAGTGATTGATTCAAAGTTATAGGGATAATAATCAGTAAATTCAGGACCCCAACCCAGGCCAGCTGATCTCTTGTTTCATACTCAACACCACTGATTGTCAAAGTGTGGTCCATGGGCAAGTGATCCTGGAAACTTATTAGAATTGCTGAATCTTGGGCTCCACTGTAGACCTGAGCAATCAGAATCTGTGTACTTCCACACGATATGAAATGGTGGGAAACACATGCTGCTTCCTCACTGGTTGAAGTCAGGCAGTTCACTGAATCTCATTTTCCTCCTTAATAAAATTGGAATAAAATGAGTTTATTTCAAAGAATAGTTATAAGAAATAGATAAAATCATGTAAGTGAAAGTCACTTGTAACTTGTAATACACTACACACACTAGTTATAGTCAGTGACACGTTCTCCTTTTATTTTTAAGAGTGCTTGGGAAGAGGGGATAATTGTCCTATAGGAAGAGCTGTCTAATAATTCAATTTAAGACATTGTTAAAATTGGATGGAAGATATGGGGGTAATGGAGGGTATCCAGAGAAGGAAAAACTTTTTTTAAAAAAAAGTTTATTTTATTTATTTTTAGAGAGGGAAGGGAGGGAGAAAGAGAGAGAGAGAGAAACATCAATGTGCAGTTGCTGGGGGTCATGGCCTGCAACCCAGGCATGTACCCTGACTGGGAACAGAACCTGTGACACTTTGGTTCACAGCCCACGCTCAATCCACTGAGCTACGCCAGCTCAGGGCGAAAGGCTTTTTTTAATATCACTAAATTAATAGCATGTGTATAGCTACTAATATTTCCTTGCATAAAAATGAATCTGGTGAACTTGAAGTCACAAAAGTACATGTTCGGTGTTTGGGTTTTGGAACCACACATGAAGACAATTTGTTGGATTAGTAAACAGTGTCTGAATGTACAACTTTTCTTTGGGAGTAGCTATTAATTTAAGAATAGCCTAAATGGCATTCTTTGGTCTCAGGTAGCCTAGTAACAATTCTTGTAATTTTCCACATGCAGCATTTTCCATTTATTTATGATTTTGCTCAAGATGTACTCCTTGGCTGAAATGTTTTCCTAGTACCACCACCCATACAGACTCAGTTCCACTAGCCTGCTATCATTTTCATGGGGCTAAGTTTCTCTTAAAATATTAAGACAGGCAAGGAAACATTACCTCCTAAAATCTTTTCTCCATACTTTTACTCCTAGGCTGGGTTACTTGTCCAATTTTGCCCATAATTATTTGTAATTTTATTTATGTGTCTGTTTCCCATGTAGCTTGTGAGAACTTTCAGGGCACATTCCCAGGATCTGGTGCAATTCTAGGCACAAAATGAATATTTTTAGACTGAATAAATAAACATTAGCAGTAATTCTTATTCAAGCACTCATCTTGGGACTAAGAGAATGGAAGAGAGATCCAGTTGACATTTATTTCAATTAAGGTGAATGTGATTATATTACTATAGAAAAAATGTTTTCATGCTAGATTTGTATTGCTTGGTGCTTCCTCAGATTATTTATACATATATAAATAATATAAATATATATATTTAATGCAGACTTAGCAATCACATAGTTTAGATCTCTAGACATTTGGGGTGAAACCTAAGCAAGACTGCTTAGGAGAAGCAGTCTTTTTTATATCACCATCCCAGCTTCACAGATAATTATTTAACTTTTTTTTTTGCATAACTTTCCAGAATTTTAAAATCATGGGTATCCCTAAATGAAGTACATTTAATAAATTTGGTCACTAAAGATATGAAAAACAGATGTTCTGAAAAGCACCTAGATAAGTTGTGTCCTGACTACCTTGAATCCTTTGTTTGGAAGGAGGTAGTTTAGTGTCTTTTTTTCTACTTACGCTTGATTTCCTTTGGGGATAGATATTATTTTGAGGCATTCCAGAGCTTTAGAAAAATATTGTTTTATAGGAGATATGTATTTAATACATATTTATGTGACAACTATCAAATTTAACAATGATAGATAGTATTAGCTACTTTTGATAATTTTTTAGCTATCTATTCTGTGTATACATATCCGTTGTATTATTTAGCCTATTCAGGGAACATTCTTACATGATTCTGTATTCAGAGCCATACTTCTGAGATTTGGTCCCTGGATTCCTAAGAAAAAATCTACTCCCCCTGTTGGTTTAAATAAAATCCAAATATTTCGACCTTGAGAATGTGGTTCAAGGGCAAACTGTTTTGTAATCATTTGCCTGAATTGCACATAAAAGGACTGTGATTCATGTTAAATGCATTAATAATTAACATAAAGCTAACATATTTTTCTTGCTTTACTTAATGAAATAAATTTATTGATGCTATACATATATAGGTGAAAACAAATGTCTTATCTGAATGTTTATAATTATGTTTTAGGAGAAAATGCTCAAAAATATATTTTAAACAAATATAAGTAATTTAAAACAAATCTTGAAAATATCATCAGCATTTACTTATTGACAAGCACAATGGATAGCCACAAATTTGATCAGTACATTGACACTTCAGTAGTGTGCTGTGACTAGTTAAGTGAAGAATCACAAAATTCCAAGGAATATATATTAAACTACCTGTTTTTTATTTAACCAAGGACACTGAAGTTGCAGGTATTCTTTTCTCTCATTTTTTCTCCTTTGTCTGTCTCTCTTCTCTGTCTCTCAACCCCCTCTTCCCTCCTCCCGTCCTTCCTCCTTCCCTTCCCTTCCCTTCCCTCCTTCCTTCCTTCCTTCCTTTCTTCCTTTCTTTCTTCCTTCCTTCCTTCTTTCCTTCCTTCCTTCATACTTTCTTATCAAGGGTTAAAACAAAATACATGAACAATGTAAGTATGCATTTTGTGTACATATATTTCGCATCCAAAGGAGCTCAGGTGCTCAAGAATACCACAGACATGAATAAAATATGTTGTAATCTTCCTTCCTTGCAACAAACAGATATATTAGCCTGCTGGGTAAAAGGTAGACTAGAAGTAACTTGTCAGTTTTTAATAAAGTCTTCCTCTCTTGCAGAGCCAAATGTACATTCTCCCTGAAAACTCTGGCGATGATGACATCTTCCCATTTGGTCTCCATAGCATCCATTTCTGAAAATCCCCAGAAGGGTTCTTGGTCAGGGCGATCCAGCTCCTACAGAAAGTTGGCAATCTGGTCAGCCAAAGGAAGCTTCTCCATTTCCTGAAACTGACTCTGTCCGTGGTGCTGAACCATTCTGCAGAGACACTCCGGGACGGCGCTGTCAGCTGTGCTGAAAAAAATCTTCCCTGACGCTGCTCAATCAGATCTGTGTATCTGTTATTTACTCACGTCCTCAAAGAGCTGCAAGCTTTCTCCATCTTAATTCAACTCTACCGCAGAGCAGAGTTGCGCCGGCGTGATGGGAGGAGATCGTAGGCAAGGAGAAAAAACTAATAGCAACATCGCTCACCTGAGACCTATGATGCTCCCATGAGTTTTGGAAGTGCTCTGCTCCTTACAGCATATACACATATTTTTAAAAAGTACCATTCTTTTGTCTTTGTTCTTACACAAGGGTTCTGTGCTATTTCCACCCTTCTGTTAAAAGCCAGAAGATTTGACAGCAATAAGGCTTTCAACGTCGGGAATTTACATTGTTTTTCAGTGGACTGACTTCCAGGACAAGGTCTCATCGGCACCCGCCCAAATACCATGGCACTGCGTGCGCCCTTTGCCACCGGAACCTCCCCTTCCAATGAGACTTTCTGATTGTGTCTACCAACTCTCCTATTTAAAAAAAAACCGTGGGTTGCATGCAGCTATTCTGTTGTATTCTGTTCTCACTCTGCCTCCCCTCTCTCACTCGCACTCTTGCTGGAGACACATCTATGACATTATGCTGAGAAGAAAAATCCCACAACTACCTTAAGGGGTTAAGACAATATGCGCAACTCTCGCCTTTTGTAGCGATCACTATTTAAATCTGGCAAGAGCCCGACACCAGTCTTTGCAAGAATGGAGTCGGTAAAACAAAGGATTTTAACCCCAGGAAAAGAGGGGCTAAAGAATTTTGCTGGAAAATCCCTCGGCCAGATCTACAGGTAAGAAAAAGCAAACCCATATTTTCCTGGGGCTCAGCATGAAAAAAATCTGCAGGGCTATTTCCGTAAACCCTGGTTGCTTAGAGAGATTGTAATGTAATATGATCAGAAAGTCTTTTTTTCTTGCTCATTGCTGGATCAGGGCTACTCTGGAAACCTGCTTATTTATTCAGGAATGTTGCGCTAAATGAACCTGTCTGCTTTGTGTATGTGTGTGTGATTTTTGTTTGGTACCTGCAGATTCTCACCCTTTCCTCCCCAGGATTTATCCTTTTTACAATTGAAAATGACCAGTACAGGTTCAAAGAACCTTTCTTTTGGTGCTTATAGTGACACTAAATTTGATGCAGGCAAATGAATTTTAAAAATAGAAGCCTTTAAAATTAATCAAGAAATTCCAAAGAGTAATGGCAAAAAATGTTGTTTGTTTGTTTTTTTTATATCTTAGCTTCAAAACCACTGTAGTGAATCTCCCAGTGGAATCATCCTTCTGTAAAGAAGGAAGAGGAATCAAAATATATCAATAATTGATAGCTGAGGCAGTTCTTCTCTCTCAACCTGAAACAATGTATATGTATTTTTCATCATTTGACCTCTCCTAGAAGTCTATTTCTTGCATGGAAGAGGTCACAGTACTTACAAGAAAAAACATAATAGTAACCAGCAAAATGACTTTGAAAGTACTGGAAATTATTTAAAATATTTTTATCCTCCTTGTAGTTGTTGTACTAAATTATGCTGTAAATTTCACAATCTGAAATCCTTCCAAGGTATTGTATGAATACACTTTTTCTTGATAATATGAGCAAAATCAAGAAGAGAGGGCAGAAACAAAAAAAGATAAACGATTCAAAGAGAGCACTAATATTCACATTTAAGAAACTGAAACCTTTGGAAAAGTATAGAAAATGTAAAGAAAATGACCAATGCACCTCCCAATTTTCCAAATCTCTTTGGCTCTGGTGGGCTTCGTGCAGGCTAGATCATGCACCTATGCGGCAGCAGATACCGCAAGGGCCCTGCAGTCCCCCAGCTGCCCTGGAAAGAGCTGGTCCTTCCCAGCCCAACTGTCATCAGGTGGGGAGTTCAGGTGCAGAGTTCAACTTTGCAAGAGGAGTACATGCAGCCAATGTATAAAAACAAATCGAATCTCATTAGTTAAAATTTTCTCCTTTAGAATATATTCCCTATGTTCTCCAGTTGAGACTGGACTTTAGGAATAAGGATTAACAGAGTCGCAAATATGTTAGTGACCTATTATTCCCAGGTGTTATTCTGTAGAATTTGAAAGTCTGACTTTTTTTTTTTCCTGGTAGCTTCAAATTGCTTGACAGCCATCTCCCAAGCTATGCATTCTTGGAATTGATCTTAGAATTTCATTTTCTTTACATGCGTGTGGGAAGACAACTGTGTCTGGATATATCATTTAAAATGCTACAAATAAAAATTAATTATATGTAAAGTTGAAATATCTGCAGATTGTAAACGGAGAGGCTTTTGTTTAAATATTGAAAATATCCATCTCAAGGGTCAACGGTGATGTTATCCTTCACACGCCTCATCTTTTTTTTTTTTAAAGAAATTTCACAAATATACTGTGGACTAAAACAATGCTATCAGCTTTTAGTAAAAGCTTTCTATCACTCCGCTTTCCCCTACCCCCTTCCCCCAAGGATGAACGCCTAAAAGGAACTGAATCGGACGGGTGAAATCTTGTGAAATGCTATGCAAATTTAAAAACATAAAACAAAAACTAAATATGATACTTTCTACCTTGGTATGGAACCTCTTACCGAGTTTATTTGGGGTCGCGTTTGTAACCTGGGAGTCGCATTTTAAGTCTTTGGAAATGGGCCGGTGGCATTTTTCAGTGTTTGTAACCGAGATAGTAATGACGCAAGATTGTGAATAATTAATTATTCATGTTCTGGCAGTAGGAAGCTTAGGTGTCGGCCATATGTTGCGGAGGCCTTTGTTTCAAAGTCGAGTGTCAGAGGGAAAAAAGTAAGATGTGCAATGGGAGGGTGAACGTGAATGGGCACCCTGGGGCTGGAGGACGGGGCCGCGGAGTGCTCGAATCTTTCAGAGAGAGCGCTCACAGACCTGCTCCGCGTGGGCACCGGACAGCAGAGGCCTCAGTCCCCGGGGATCCTGGGCTTAGCTGGGGGGCGGGACCGCTGCGTCCTCATCCCAGAAAGCTTTAATTTGCCCGGGAAGGAAGGGATAGGGAGGGTGTGGGGCCAGGGCTGGGCAGGCCGGCCCCTGAGCGGCTGGCAGGAGTGGGGGGGGGGGGGTGCTGGATAAAACACCCTGTCACCGGGGTGAATGAAGCACTGCGGCGAAGAAAGGTCTACACGGCCGCTCACAAGGCGCCTATGGGGTAACCCACGTAAACTGCAGACCCGGCAAGAAAGTTAGGCCCAAGCGGCCTGTGTGTATGAATGAAGGTGCTGCAGTCTGCATCCCGAGGGAATGGGGACTGGATGCCAGAGGCCGGAGGTGTTAAAGTTGAAGAGACGCCGTTGTGGGGAGGGTACTGACAGGGGCTGGAGAGCCGGGAAGGTGCTGAAGCCTCGGGTCTGTCCAGTACCCTCACCCCGGAGGCTGGGGGAGCTGGTCAGCGCCCTTCCCCTCAGCCCTAATGGGCCCTGGGAATTGGGAACTGGTGGGCGTCTGGGGTGCCTAACCCGAGGCGTCCTCGCTTCCCCCCTTCCCCCGCTCTGCCGTGTAGGGTGCTGGAGAAAAAGCAAGAAGCCGGGGAGACCATCGAGCTGACGGAGGATGGGAAGCCCCTGGAGGTGCCTGAGAAAAAGGCGCCGCTGTGCGACTGCACGTGCTTCGGCCTGCCCCGCCGCTACATCATCGCCATCATGAGCGGCCTAGGCTTCTGCATCTCGTTCGGCATCCGCTGCAACCTGGGCGTGGCCATCGTGGACATGGTCAACAACAGTACCATCCACCGAGGGGGCAAGGTCATCAAGGAGGTGGGCAACAGCCGGCCGAGTGGTCGCGCAAAGCCGCATCCCCTTCACGAGTGCGGTTCCCTCTCTTCCCCTGCCGAGTGAGGAAGGCCTGGAAGCTCCCTCAGCCCCCTTCTAGTACTACCCTTCAGAATGCACCCGTCCAGCATCCTCACCAGCCGGCTTATTTCTCCTGAATCAAGTCGCTTCTGCTCTCTGGGCCTTCCTTTTCTCGCCCGCAAAGTGGAAAATAGAGTGTATCTCACTGGGTTTTTGAGAAACAGGAAACCGGGGCTTAATAACGCTGCTAAATCGAAATCGAAACGTTTTTCTTTTACTCAGAGGAATAGGGCATTATATTAGTTATAATTTCCCGCAGAATTCCTCCATTTCCCGCCAAACATTCTCAGTAATGAAAATGAAACAAAATCGAAAACCAAATCAAATCAACGGTATGCACCTGGGCAGTTCCCTCCTAGGGGCCTTTTGGAGCCGTCGACCTGGCTGGCCAGGAGAGGGGCTGCAGCGCAGGCACATCTTGGGGTCTTGGGAATCCAGTCCTATAATCTTACAATGGGCGTGTTGGGTAACCCCTAGGAAGAGAAGGGTCAGTTTCAAGGTCACAGAAACCCTTGGGTCCGTATTTCTTGTTTAGGGATCTGAGTGACCAGAAACCAGGCAGAGTGAGGATTGGGAGGATTAATTCTGCATTCGCTTTGGGTGAGAAGCGGTGAGCGCTGACCAGCCCTGGACACTCTGGGAGACCCTGCGCCTGGTTTCACAATTTTATTCAAAGGGATAAAAGGGGGCCACTCGGGCGGAATAAGCGCTCCTTCCCCTTTCCGCCGCAGGTATTTCCTCCTGGTTTACGTTAAGGTTCACCTGGTGCAGGCGACCGGGCTGCCGAGGGCGGAGTTAGGCCCCGACCTTCGGACACACCCCTCTCGGCCTCTTAAGACCACCTCTGAGCAACACCTCCCTTTCCATTGACTCCCCAAATTTGACCCACGCCCATCCCCGTTTGCTGGGACCATCCTCCTTCCTAACCCCTCCGACCTCTTCGGACCTTCCACCCCAAGCTCCCCAACTTCCTTCTCCAGAATTTCACGGTTTGAGTTCGGTTCTCCAAGCGATTCCATTAGTCTCCGCACTGGCTGGCTTCGGCTAAATGCACCCAGGCGGGTGTTCTCTACCCCCTCGGCAGCTAACGGAATCTCTTACCGGGAGTCGGAGTTCCCCAAACTGGAGCCTTGAAGATTCCTCATTCACCTAGGCGATCCGACCCGCCTAACAGTGTTCCGAGAGCAAAGCCAGAGCTCCCAGCTTTGCTCTTAATCACAACACATTTCAAATGAGCACGATTTTTTTTTTTTTAGTTAAAAGAGGCATTGCCTGTCTATAAAAAGGTATTGATTCTGTTTTGTCATGGAACGGAAATTAAGACCTCCCTTCCCCCAAGCTCAAAATGCAGGGAGTAACTGGGGACTGAGCGCTCTTCGGCTGGAGAGCTACTGAAAGTGAATCTCAACCCAGGCACTGACCAGACTCTCTCCCTCCACCTCGGTTTTTAAATTTTATTTTATTTGCTTATTAAATTTTTTTTGTCCTACTCCCATAGAAAGCCAAATTCAACTGGGACCCAGAAACCGTGGGGATGATCCACGGTTCCTTCTTCTGGGGCTACATCATCACCCAGATCCCGGGCGGCTACATCGCGTCTCGGCTGGCAGCCAACAGGTAACGTGCGGGGCAGGCCCGGGCTCGGGGGCGTGGAGCGTGTGCCCTCAGGAGGGGCAGCGGAGACTGTGGGCAGGAACGACAGCCCCGCGAGGGTTGGGAACTCCTGGGCAGGTCTCCTAATTCCCTGGTGCCCCCTCCTGTAACAGAAATTGCTGGTGCCTCCTTCCAGAATAAGGCGCCGGAAAAGATCTAGGCTTTCCTCGGCGGGCGCACGTTGTTGTTTCCTCTCCGCCGCGTCTGCATAGGCCCTTAACAAAATAGTCGACGTGCATGAAGGCCTGGAAGGAGCTGAGGCCAGGCGGTGAGCAGGCCGTGCTGGGACTGTGAGGCCGGGTGCACAGAAGGGTGGGGGCCTCACGTGCAGCGCTCTCCCCTGCGCGCCCCGCGGGTGCCTCGGCTTCCTGCGGCACTGACCTCCCGGCTGGGCAAGTCGAAAGCCCTGAAGGAGAGCCCGCCCAGATGGTGCTCTGGGTCTAGAAGGACTTGTTTCTATGGAGGCAGGCGGGATTTTACTCGCCGTGGGTGTGATTCCACCTGTTAATGAGCTCCGCTGAGTAGGGGCGGGGCGGAGAAGGCGCTCAGCTGCGTCCTGCGGCCTCCTGCGGCGCTGCGGTGGTGGCTGCGAGCCGAGGTCTTAGGGTCAGCCCTCCGGAGTTTTCCAAGCCCCACCTGCAGAGGCACAGGGACTGTAGGGCCGTAAGAATTAATGGGGCGGGGGTGACAAAGGGCACAGCCATCCGAGGGGAGGGCGAGAGACAGCTTCATTTGCTTTACTGTGTGCGTTATAATAAATAAAAATCAGTGCTCCTTAAATCTGAATTGTTAATCTGGTCAAGAACAAATGCACTCGCCCTTCTAGCTACTGCTGCTTAGAGACCCCAAATGGAGACTTTGGGTCTTCCTTCAGACCTTGTACCTATGCCTTCACCTCCTCCCTTCCCCCAAAAGGTGGCAAGAGATCTAGAACTGGGCACCTCTCTAATCTGATCTCTTGTCTGCTTTTGTAAACGGACCCCTCTTCATCTCAGTAATTTCCCGGGCACTTCCAGCGGCTTTTGTCGTCTACGGTCCCATTCCCAGAGGCGTCTTCCTACCCAAGATTTCCCGGTTGTCGCCAAGGTCTAGGAAGTCATTCCTGGAAATTTATTTCAGGCTTAATGGTTCCAGAGAGAAGATTTGGACGGTCCTTCAAAATGTCAAGAGGAGAGTGCAATATGTTAAAAATAGTGCTGTTTTAGTGCTCTTAGGCCCATCAAGAGACAAATATTCTTTTTAAAAAGGAATTAGTTTAAAATGAAAAGCATTAACTGTATAGAGAACTCAATTTTTTATAAATGGGATAAATCAAAGAATAAGCTATATTAGGCAAAAAACAACAATAAAACCTAAAGGAATTATTACTTTAAATCTCACTGGTAATGAACTTGTTACATTTTTGGCTTTCATATTCATAATGCATAGTGTTCTGACTCTGTTTTTTTTTTTAATAAAGTATTTGCTGAAACAAAATAAACTTTCCTGGAAAGATACTCCAAACACACTATAGGAAATATTTTCACTTCAGGGATACATATCTAACAAATCACTGAAACCCAAAAATGTTACAGAAAACTCAATGAAATGTAAAGTGAATACCTAATGGTTGTGCCTGTGAGTTTTTCTCAGAGTCCAAAGCTTCAGCTTGCCAAATGTTACAATGCTAACATTTTCCTGCCAAGAAAAAAACACCAGGGATGCCCCAGCTTTCCTGGTTATAAAACTGAAGGTCAGTAAACAGGTTTTCCTGGTTCAAAAAAAAAAAAAAAAAAGCAAGCTCATTGCTGTCATTTGTGTCATGTTCAGCAAAGAAAAGACTGGTGTTGACTCTGGTTCTAATTTATTTGGTACATTTTCCTGAAGGAAAAATTCCCAAATTTAGATTTTTTTATCTGTATTCACCTTACTTTTAAATGAGTATCTAAAAGAGAGAAACTTAATATTTTTACATGCAATGTTTTCTGTTCTGTAAGACTGAGAAAACTAAGTTAAAACTCATTGTAAAATACATGAACAGATCAAAGATTATAGATTATCTTCTTTATTACATTTTAGGATTTTGACATCTTTGCTACATATTAAAAATATAATAAAACATTACAAATGTTTTAGCCAGTTAAGCCTCCCCAGGAAAACATTCCCTTTTCCAACTGAAAAAAGTAAATGGTGATGGGATTAAGCAAAGAAAAGAAACTCAGACGCAGACACCAGGATGGTAATTACAAGAGGGAAAGGGGGCAGGTGGAGGTAGAAGAAGGTGAAGGGGGAAAAACTGGTAATGGAAGGAAGCTAGGCTTTGGGTGGTGAACACACAATGCGATATATAGATGATGTATCATGGAATTGTATATCTGAAACTTATATCACTATATTAACCAATGTCACCACAATAAATTCTATAAAAAGTACTATATACTAAATAAAATGTATATTAAAAATAAAGGATAATAATCGTAAATAACTTAATCACCAGAAACACGTATTATTAATATGTTGGTGAATGTCTGATTAGCCCTATATATGATGTATAAAATTTTATCTTAAAAGGCCTTTTAAAAAACACACACAAGCCCTGGCTGGCATAGTTCAGTGGATTGAGCTTGGGCTGCGAACCAGTGTTGCAGGTTCGATTCTCAGCCAGGGTACATGCCTGGGTTGCAGGCCATGACCCCCAACAACCGCACATTGATGTTTCTCTCTCTCTCTCTTTCTCCCTCTCTTCCCTCCCTAAAAATAAATAAATAAAATATCTTAAAAAAAAAACAAAAAAACCCACACACAAAATCTCAGAGGGATTTTTAGAATTGGTTTGACAGATACATGCTTTTGTATTACATAACCCCTTTCAAAATAGTAAAAACAACACAGCAAGACCAGTTTTCCACCTACAAGTATTGTATGCCCATTCAAATAAGCTTCTCCCTGTAGGTCATTTAATAATAGAACAAAATTTCCCTGGGGTGAGAAATTGGAGACAGATTCCTTTCCCTCTAGGTGGAAAGAAACTCACTTTGGAAAGTGTTTGCCGTCACTGCTAAGGGCAGAACTGGAGTAGAGGGACTGAGGTGTGCAGAGACACCTCCTCAAGAGAGAAGGGCTCCTGGTTACCCTGCCAGGCAAATTTCTCAATGAAAAACAACCAGCACTGCTATCTGGCACCTCCATTTTATAAGTGAAGCCAAAACAGCCTCACGCTTGGGCAGAATACAGGTTCTTGGTTCTTTGGTTCTTTGTCTGGTCAAGTTCTAAGTATTCTTGCTTTCCTGTTTGTGGAGAGCAGGAAATGAGGGAGCACTGGGGAGAAAAATCTCAGTTGCCCAAGTTGGCTCTTGCATCATTTTTTCCTTTGTCTCTCCTTAAAGGGCTATTGCACATCCTGGGAGGGAGCATTTAGTCATCTCCATGGAGGGCGTTGGGGTGGGGAACCAAAGAAAGACTCCTCACAAGATCTGTAATGTTTCCAGATGGGAACATATGTAATGTAGTGATTAAAAGGTGTTAGAGACAATTAATTTTGTCTTTAAACAGCACAGGGCATGGAGCCTACATCAGTCTAGATATTTACAAGTATGGAATGGCTAAGGACTATTTTTACCTTCTATTGAGAGAATGAGAAGGAACCTTGCTGGGCAAATATTTAATGTGAAAAACAATGGAATTTTTGCAGTGGGCATAATCAAAGAGGGTCAGAATTACCAAAGGAAGTTTGGCTAACATTATGTTTTTAATGGGTGATATTATATCCAGGAAGACTATCCTTGCTTCTTTAGTCTAGGTGGCAATATTACTTAACCCCTATTTAAAAATTTTCCCTAATCTGTTCCTGTTCTCCTGATTTCCCAACCCTGCTATAGTTTTTTTACAGAGCACTTATTGCCACAGGCTATACTGATACTTTACTTATTTTTTCTTTAATGTTTATCTTTCTCCTATAAAATGTAAGCTCCATGACAAAACATGCAGTTTTGCACATGTTGTTTTTAATGCTCTATACCTAGCATCTCAGAGAGTGCTTGGCCCATGATAGATTCTAGCTGAATAAATAAAATAGACATCACAACAAAGCATCAGTGGCTTTGAAAAACAAAAGACAGTTTTGCATATTGGTTAAGATATAGGTTCTGAAGCAAACTGTATGGGTCCAGACTCCTGAATGTGCTATTTAATAACTAAAGACATTGAACACTATTTAACCTCTCTGAGCCTCCCTTTATATTTCTGTAAAAGGGAACTAACCAAAATACCTACCTGATATGGTTGTTATGACAGCTAAACCAGAGAGCACGTGTAAACTTTTTTACAAGTGCCTTTGACCATTCATTATTAATGAAATCTTAGGTTCAGAAAAAGACATTAAAATACCTTATGCACATTCTGCATTACCTGTCTTTAAATTTACTTTAAGTATTAGTAATACAAAGGGTTATTTTTATTATGATAAAAATGCTTCTTTTCACATGTCAGATTTCTGTCTTTAAAATTATTTTCTCATACACATCATTAATAATATTGTTCACTGGAAATGTCATGTCTCATTGGAAGACTTTTAAAGAGTTGCCTTAAAAAATACTTCCAGCCAATACTATTGAGAGTGCATGACATGTTTGAATTCTAACCAGGCATTATACATCCACTTAGATGGAGGTTAGACTGCTCTGTTGAAAGTTACTGAGTTACTGTTTATCTCCCCTCCCCCATCCTTCATTTAAAGAAGGTTCAGTTCCTAGTGCAAATTTTGTCCTCTCAGATATCTCTGGGGTTTCTAGCTTGACTCTTGCTAAAGAAAAATAGTTCTTTATTTGAATAAGAGACTGAGGATTGCATGTGTCTGTGATGTAGCGTGAACTCCCCGTGACAGAAAGAGCCCATAGTAGAGCTGGACAGGCTCATCTAATCCAATCCTCTCCTTTTATAGGCCAGCAAAGGGACTAGAGAATCAGGGAGGTGATGACTTGCCCAAG